AGTGTAGTCTGAGTGCAGTGTTTGGCTGAACTCCAGGATTTCCTGTTTTTGTTTCTCTATTTGTTTGATGAGACTGAAATGTGAACAAACCAACATGATAAATGAAGAACGATCACACACAAACCATTCAAAACACTTTAGAGTTTTATTTTATATTCATAAAACTGACAAATATTCAGTACTGAGTCATTTCTGCTCACTTTAATAACAGAGAAGGCTGCACTGCAGAAAATATCTGGAGCTGAATCTTCAGTCTTTAACACAGAGGTAGACTTCAGATCTTGAATGTGCTGTAAGATATTAAACACACAATAATGTCAAATAATCAGCTCTAAATATATTCATGTAAATGTATAAGCACAATGAGGGTTTATTCAGGAAGCGTGATTGACCTGTAGAGTTGTGCTGATCTGTGCTGCTGCTGGACTGCAGATTCACTTCTGTTGAGCTGAAATATGACGGCGTGTTGGAGAAAGAGCTGACAGATGAACCTTCAGTGTTTTCCTGATCTGATGGACAGACAGAGATGAGCACAAACACTAATGCTGGAGTTCAGTTCAAACACATCTCATTATTCAGTTCATCAGAGTCGATTCACTGAACACACTGCCTCTAGTGGCCTGATGAGGGATTTATTCACTGCAGACACACACTACAGGAGAATGAGGGAAGTAGAGCTCAATTTTACTGGAGATATCAAAATAGATCCCTTACCCTGTTTGACCATCAGCACAATCTCTGAATAGAGATCAGTTAAAGCCATATCTGTAAAACTCCTCCTCACAGCACACCAGTATTGTCCTTCATCCTCTGTTCTCAGATCAGTGATGGTGATGGTGAAAACTCTGCTTTTCTTGTCGTCAGTCAGAGAGAATCTCTTGTCTTTTGCTGGAGATCCTGATTTAACTATGATGTTTTTATTCCCAAAGTTACACTCGCCTTTACAGAAATACTTTGAGTTTGACTCATATCCAGACTCATATGGGCATCTGATGTCCAGTTTCTCTCCTCTGTGTCCTGAAACTGTAACTGGAGCTTCAACAACAACTGAAAGCACTGATATGTTCATAAAGAGCTGTTATGAGCGAGAGATTATCAGGCCACAATAATATTATTCATGTGAAACTGATGATCATTTAATAAAACTCATGTAAAATTCAGTACAAAAACTCTTTAACTGGCATCATAACCATCTGCTTGATTTTTTGTCCATACAGGAGGTTATTATCAAAACAATTAACTCGAAATCAGCTTAGTGTGACATCAGGAACACAATTTAACCATTGAAATTATTCAAAAACTAACCTGTAGAGAAGCTGGACACGAGCAGCAGAATCACCAACATGCTGGACACTTTCCTCCAATATGAGACTAAATTCTGTGTGAAACGTTTCTGTGCTTCTATTCTGAATTGAGTGTCAGACATAAAGCTTCTCACATTTCCTTCCTCTGTCAAACCACATACATCTGATCTAAAAGCACTCATCTATCAGCAATATTTAAATATTCCCTCCTGTAACACGGTCTACGTTTCTTTAAGCTAAACTTCAGTAATTAGGTTAAATGTCACAGTCGTTTGCATCAATAGCATCTGCATGCAGCCTTGATGATGCAAGCTAAGATATATCTCAGAGATGCAATGTCAGAAACAATGCACTCAGTGGAGCTAATGACGTCAGAGTGAGGGACAGGGTTAGCATATTAAAAGCATTGCATGCAGCTTAGATTGCAAATGCAACAGCTAATTTCAGTGACAGGAAATCAGAGTCTCTTTCCAGTAAAGTCTATTCACTCGGCAGCCATATTTGCTGAATCTCTGACAGCTAGTTCAGCCATGTACAGGATGCAAAATAAAAGTCAAACCCAAAAAATAAGGTATAATTTACTTCAGGTGTGTATGTCTGCTCATTACCTGTAGAGGGCGCACTGTAACAGCTGTACAAATCACTTACAATCATATTTAAATGTGACTGCTTTATTTTTAGTTATAAGCACCATTTTTGTTAGTAATATAATACACTTTTAATACTAAAACAATTATTTTTAATACTGATTAATATAAATATGCATACTGTATCAGATTTATTTTTTGTAAACATGAGTGCATCGGTCAGTGGATGGTGTAATATTATTGTCAAGACTGACTGAAAGCCGTGAATAATGAACATGAATGACACCAGTTAGTAAAGTTGCAATGAGAAATGAACATACGAAGAGATAAATAAAGCAAGACAGCAACAACAAAACTACTACACTTCTGTTATGCTGAGTTCAGACTGCATGATTTTAGCCCCAATGTTGACTCGTCGACAGGTTGTCATAACCACTTAAACTCTGCTGCTATTTAGGGAATTTTCACCTGTATTTTGCCTATCCAAATTTAAAAGCTTCCCAAATCCACATGCAGAGGTGTAAATGCAAAAAATTTGGTATCATTTTAAAGAAAACCCTTTGAATTTTCATAAAACACTATTGAAAGTGTTTAAAATATCTGTATATGTCGTCTGTGTTTTAATAAACACCTAAATAAAAAGGCGCTTTTTGTATTTTTTTTTTATAAACTCAAATTTGAAAGTGTACCTTTTAGGTTGTGTGTGCTCTAGCGTGCTGTAATTAATGTTGGTGGTTCCTGCACATGTCTGTAGTCATAGGAAAATAGGAAAATGTCTTCACCATAATCTATGCAAAAGTTATTGTATTCCAACTGATGAGAGGTGCTGTACAAGCCACAGGGAGCGATCATTGCTTACATATTTCACTATTCTTTTGTTTGATCAAACATAATTCACTGTGTTTGGACCACATCAGACATGTAAAAGGATTACTTATGCACATCACCTCAAAAACAGAGGAGAATGGCCCTGAAGCACACAGCATAAGGTGAGAGATGACAGCTGTCTGTGCTATCTGGGGCTGCTTATTGATCATGAATGTATTGTTTACATTTCTGCGCCATGGAAACACCGAGATTCATTCAACAACTGTTTGGCATATGAATATAATTCAGTAAAAAGAATGCTGGAACTGTATGAGCACCAGCAAGAGCTTTCATTTGAGCTATAACTTGTACATGTGTCATATGAAAAAGTATGAAAATGAACCAATGTTCAACACCCAGCTCGGGTATCCAAAATGCTGTGTATTTAAGTGTAAATAACTTTTATACAATAAAATAAAAACCAAAGTGATGCATGTGTGCATAAAATATAGATTCTAAACTTTCAAACAAAACCACTTACGGGGGTCTGGTGCAACGCTAGCCCTTTAAATCTGAAAGCGAAAGTCGATGACGTCAGAATGTCTAAAATCACAGGTAAACGGGTGCTTGTTCAGGTGAGTAACAATCACACATTGTGAACTATCAAACACTGAAAGCTCCAGATATTTAGCTTGTCGAATATCTCACTGGTGTCAGCGACTCGTTGGCGATTCTCTCAGATCACGTCTTTGATCATTGATCGATTCGGATGATGCCGTCTGATGTATTCTGATTGAAAATAACATCGGTGATCACCTACAGCCATTGAGAGAGCAGCATACACTAGTGTGGGTATCTGCAGGCCAGCGAGTGGTTGGGCGATTAGTTAAAAGGGCTTCCTTTCAGTCTATTTGGACCCAAGAAATGGAGGAAAAACTAGTGTAAACTTGGCAGGAGCACCCGTGTATGTTTAACGTGCCATCTGAGCAATATCACAACCAGCTCGAAACATAAAAAAATGTTGAGGAGAAATTACTAATTCCCTTCAAAACACAGGTGAACAAAAAAAAAAAAGTTCTACCCACTAAAGGCTCTCATTATGTAGTAAATAAGATAAGATATACCACATACTTTGTGTGTGTTTGGTTGTGAGACGTTTACAGGACGAAACAAAGTTGTTGCTGATTCTTCCTATTGTAAAGTCATGCAGTGGGAAACCTTCTCTTGCAGTGTGAACACAGCAGTGACAGAACGCCAGCCCAGATAGTCATACAGTGTGAAAACATTCGCAACGCTATTACTTTGTAAATCCTGCAGTCTGAACTCGGCATTAGACACTTGATGTAATCTAACAGAACACGACTAAAAATAACAACACAATAAAAAATGAATCGCCAAAAACCAAATCAACCAATAGCAAGAAAACCACCACGTCAACAAAACCCAAGCTTTTATAAACAAGATTATTTTCCTAACCTCATATTACCACAAAGTTGTTGTTAGAAGGGATACAGCTGTGGCCGGAAGTTAACGAGAATTATGTATATTAGTAATTAAATTACTCATTAAGTGCATTTTATGTTTGCCTATTTTATTTAACAGTAATGTAAATACACTAATTATACCCAGTATTATTCATATTGTTTAATAAATTACCCATTAAATTGTAAGGGTGAGGCAGTGGCGCAGTAGGTAGTGCAGTTGCCTCACAGCAAGAAGGTCGCTGGTTCGAGCCTCGGCTCAGTTGGCGTTTCTGTGTGGAGTAGGCTAAATTGTCCGTAGTGTGTGTGAATGTGTGTGTGGATGTTTCCCAGAGATGGGTTGCAGCTGGAAGAGCATCCACTGCGTAAAAACTTGCTGGTTAAGTTGGCGGTTCATTCCGCTGTGGCGACCCCGGATTAATAAAGGGACTAAGCCTACAAGAACATGATTAAATAAATGAATGAATTAAATTGTATTTTAATAATTCCTGGCCCAACCTTAAACCCCCACAGTAACGTAGAAATGATAATTAATAATTGTAATGCAGGATCACAAAATTGATGTTATATTTATGTGCAGATCCACTGTCACAGTTTGCCTCTCTCAAAAGCTCGGGTCACCGGAATTTATTTCCAAAACCACTCACAGACGAGACCAGGAACATACAAAAAAAAAAAAAAAAAAACAGAAATGATAAAATAAAGCTGTGGTCAGACTAGAGTTTGAGCTTGTGAAATTCTGTCATATGACACTGTGAAAAGGGGCGGGATTAAATGATGATTAGACATTTTAAAAAGTTAGCGATTGGTGCATATTTTAATTTTCTGTCCAGAGAGGTCATGTTTTGATCCTCAATTAGTCTTACTCAGTTAAGTGATGCAATTTCGCAAAACTTGCCGCATGAGCTTGTGTTTCGGGTCTGACGCATTCACGTGCGCATGAATGGAAATCTATGGGGGAAAAAATCCAATGTGACCGCCGCTTATTACCAGACAAAGAACTAATGAAACTCATTGGTAAAAATATACCAGACATGATTAAACTGAATACATATAGGGGTGCGACACAGGTGGAAATAATGAAACTAACGAATGGCGGGAAAACTGAACAAAGTAATCGCATGGCAATAACAGAAAGCACAAGGAGCACATGACAGGTAAACACCAGGATCATGACAACCACAGCTGTATCCCTTCTAGACTTTACTTAGCCTAACTACACCCACTCAGGAAGAGTAGGAGACTCTTTTTATTTATGGCTAATTACTGAATATATCAGACCCTCATTATTTGAAATTTTAGGTGGAAGATCTGCTGTTGCATAGATCGTTTCTGTTCTGTTGTTCAGAGTTTGTTGAGATGATGTAATATTGCCATAATAATCACTGACTGTATCTGACATCCGATTGGCTGAGTGGGTGTGACCGGGGACTGAATCAGAACGTTGCTTAGTTACTGTAGCGTAAACAGCATTTTCTGGACGGGTGTTGGGATCTGATGCTGGCGTCTGATTGGATGAAGGCTCAGCAGCGATGATGACATCACTGTTTAGGATCTCTTCATACATGCAGTCAGTCTGAAAACAGCACATGAGTAATGCGTTTATTAAGAGAACCCTCACTGCTCATCATGCAGATATCATTATACAGATATGAACACACACCTCAGTATTCTGCTGCACATTCTGCAGAGGTAAAGCTGAATGGAAAATGAAAAAAACACGATTAAATCAATTTAAACAGCAGGGGCCTGTTTCAGAAAGGAGGTTAAGTGAAAACTCAGAGTATTTTAACCCTGAAATGAGAGAAACTCTGGGTTTTCCGTTTAAAAATGGCAGGTTTGTTAAACTCAAGAAATCAGGGTAAGTCAAGCCTGTTTCTGAAAGAGAGGTAACTTTAACTCAGAGTCAGTTACTGTGGTAATTTACTCTGTGAATCTAACCTGGTCAGGAGCAGGTTTTATTCTCTGAACTCTGAGTTTCTGTCGGTCTCCTCCCCTTTTTTAAAGATGAAGCGTATTTCTTGCCTGAGCCTTACATTTCCACACACCTATTTTAGAGCTCATTTTAGAGATGCCCATAAAAACGATTGATGGAAACGTCATGATGCACATAACTTTTGAAAATATGCATAAAAAACATGTGCATAACTGAGTAGGTTAAACTTTATTTGATAAGAAAAGATGCGCATAAACTACGAAACAAATTACAGTATGTACATTTAAAAAAAAAGGTTTGTTAGAGATGATGATGAAAATGTGTGTGAATGGACAAACCAGCAGACTGAGCACACTGCAGAACATCTTAAATGTTGTTTTAGTCATTCTAAAATGTCTGAACTGTTTCAGTATTAGTGTATATTATTAATTACCTCCGAGCGTTAGGAGCGTGTCAAGAGTCTACGCGTCTCATGGCTTCAAACGCCCCCACGTGATCATTGTGTGTCAATTGTCTTCTGAGGCGCAAGTATTAAATAAAAAATCATTGATGCAGCTTGTTCTACCGCAGTAAATTCTGTTTTTACTGTTGATATTTGGCGCAAGTTAATCAGGAAGTGACGATTGTGTTCTCTTTGACTCGTTGATAAAAACGCTGCTTTATTCGCATCTTCTAGGCGTTATTCCAGTTTTGCACAAATTTATGTAATAGCCTATATTTTGATGGAAACACAGCTATTGCCTACATTTTTATCACACACAGAACAAAGCATTCTGTTTGAATGGGAAAATGTCAAATTATTTAAAAACTGTTTACCAAGCTCACGATTATTCATAGTTTATATTTGGAATCACCAATAAAATTAAACATAAATTATCTTAAGTTTTGTTTTTAAGAGTTCAAACAATATCCTTTTTTTTCAGGTTGCCCAAACTAATGCACTCTCGAAGAAAACAAGATCACGACACCAACCTCATTTACATATGATCGTGATCACAACAGGAAATACGTTAGGACCATTGTTATTGTTTACGTCTCTCAGAATGGTCCAATCTTTGTTTATCATCACAGACGAACTGTTACCTGTCTCACATTTCCTTTTCCTCTTCTTCAGGATGAGGAAAGTTCCAGAACACAGAAGCAGAACCAGCAGAACTGAACCCAGACCACCAGCAACTGAACCCAGATCAGTATGTGACACTAAACATAAAACACATTACTGAGGAGATTATACTGAAAAATTTTAATAAAACTGATTATTATACAACGTAAAATTTTGCAATATTTTAAATACATTGTTATTTTTAATGTTGGGTATAAAAACAAGTCATATTACATGCTATATTACAATACATAAGCAATATTATATTATATTGTACATTATATCACAATATATGCTATATTACAATTTTGAGCCTATCTTACTCTAAACAACAACAAAAACACACACAAGAATAGCATAACACACACTTTCACTTAAAAAGCATACTTTCATTAAAAAGCAACTACTATAAGTAACACGGTGAGTTAAGATTGTAGTATATTATTATTTCCCAACACTGCTGATATTGTGCAACCGAAGTGAAACTGCATCGGTAAACCTCAACCCTTAAAAAACACCAGATTCACCACATGAAATCAGTCGTGTGCATCTCTTTCAAACCAACTCTCTAAAATATCTTTCTGATTTGTTGTGGTGAAGTGAAGACAAGTGCATTGTGGGTAGTGTAGTTTGTTTGCTTACTACTAGTGGTTGCCTCATTGGGTTCAGCTGTAGTATTTCCTGTCCTCGTTGCCATGGTCACACTTTCATTTTGAGTCACTGACAGGAAGAAAAGCACAAATGAAACGTGCAGCTCACACAGTAAATCTAATTATACAACAGACAAACACAATCAAACACTATTATGGCAGTACACATGAACAAAGTCTGACTTTAAAACACTGACATCTGATCACATTATAAATGAGTGTTTGGATATATACAGTGTCTGCTAAATGCATGAATGCTAATGTTAAGACATCATGGAAAATCCCATGTAAATCAATGCTGTGCTCATGTTATTTCAGAGTTACTGTATTACGAAATGACTTTACTCTGAACCCAGAATAAGTAAAAGCTAGAAAGAGCTCCTGGACACACTGGCTGTAATAAAATGGCATCAAACACTGAGTTATTTTACACTTGAATCAAATGCAGAGGAAGATCATGATCTCCATCTGTCGAGACCACTGGAGTTTTGATTCATCCACAATAAAAGTTATTGTTGAAATTTAGAGTTTCCAGTTTGTTGCAATTTTCCAGGAAGACACTATTATACTAGTTTGAACTATTTGGAAACTCACAATTACAAGAATCACATCATGATCTCGAATGCAGCTTTGATATTTCATTATACAAGATGATCACACTAAATACCAAACACTTCACATTAAAGGGTTAGTTCACCCAAAAAATATGATTATCTGATGATTTACCCATCTTCAAGGCATCCTATGTGTATATATGAGTTTCTTCTTACAGTTGAATCAGTCGAAGTTATTTAAATCATTAGTTTTTGACTTTCTTCAGCACTACAATGGCAACAGGTGGCTTTATTATATCAATAGTGCAAAAACGGCAAAAAAATGAACAACAAAAAGTGCCTCATGTGTCTTTTGGGGTTGAATAAAATTCTTCTGTTGTAATTTGCTGCACTTTTGTAGAAAACAAATGCATATGTAATACTTTATAATCAGTTTTTTTTTTGTACTTTTGCAAGAAACTGCAACTTTTATCTTCTTGGGGTGCATTTATTTTGCTGAACTTGGCGCATTCCCCAGATTTACTTCACTACTTTCACTTACACGTCTCGATTAACTTATACAAATAATGAAACACGTTGCCTTAAAAGTGATACGTTTATATTAAAAAACGTGTGTATACTTGTGTTAACTTGGAATTAAGTTGGTTTAACCAAATTTTTATAATTATGTGCATAGTCAATTTACTTAATAATTGTGCTAAGGCTGCACGGTGGAGCAGTGGGTAACATGTTCGCCCCACGTTCGCTCCAAACACATGCGCTATAGGGGAATTGAGGAGGCTAAATTGTCCATAGTGTATGTGTGTGAATGAGTGTGTGTGGATGTTTCCCAGTAATGGGTTGCAGCTGAAAGGACATCCGCTGCATAAAACATATGCTGGATTAAGTTGGCGGTTCATTCCGCTGTGGCGAGATTAATAAAGGGACTAAGCCGAAAAGAAATGAATGAATGAATGAATGAATGAATTTTAAGGCTAGGTTTACTCTTTTATTTTAAGTAATTTCTAAATTGCATGTCTCGATTTACTTCTAAAAAATAAAACCTGTTGCCCTAAAATTGATCTTAAAATACTCTTTTTATTAACGTAAACTCAATTAATCATTTTCAACAGTGTAACTTTGACTGAAAGAATAAACTCATCTAGTGTACACCTACTGTAGGATGACTCGAGGATGAGTAAATCTTAGTGAACTGACCCTTTATCATTGTTTATTACAGAAATGTACATGTCTGACTGTCTGACTGTTTGTGTGTGTCCAGTACCTGTGCTGTTGTGGTCAGTTCTGCTGTTTGTATTGGGATGAATGGTGGACGTTGAGATCTGAACTGGTTTGGGTTTCTTTGGAGCTAAGAAATAAGATCATAACATTCAAACTAAAAATATATATCTATGAGCATGAAATGAACACATGGAGGGAATGGAGATGTTCAGTATTGAATGTCAGGCACCTCTGATCACATTAAGCTTGACTGATCTAGAATCGCCCCATCCAGCAGTACAGGTGTACTCTCCAGCATCGCTCATCTGCAGATCTCTGATGGTCACTGTAAATAATCTCGCTTTATGATCATCCTTTAGTGTGAATCTGCCACTAAACACTGGAGACTGTCCTCCATCAGACTTCAGCATTAGTGTACTCTCTCTGTAAGGTCCTTTGTAGAAGTATTTATAAGACGTCTCATATCCTTCACCATAAGGACAGTTAATAACAGCTTCTCCTCCTTCTGCTGCTGTCACTGTAATATCAGCACACACTGAAGCTCTCGCTGAAGCACACAAACACAACACAACACTGCTTTACTCAAACACACTCACTAAATCCCCCATACTGTACAATAATAAAGCCTTCACAGAGATCTTCGAGCACTTACCCATCAGCAGAAACACACAAACCCTCAGCGCAAACTTCATTTCTTCAGAAAATCAGCCTGAAACTCTGAACACTTCCTCAAAATCACTTTCTCAAACTCAGATAATACAACAATTCTGCTCAAGTTGCTCTTCTGTTGCCGGTGTCGAGTGTGAGAATCGAGCATTAGCTCTGACTGACTGTGTGCTTGAGTTTCCATGTGGCTTTATGTGTGAAAATGCTTCTCAGGTTTGACCAGGAAACTAGCTCTGATCTCACAAACCACAGACCTTTCGCCCCGCTTTCTCTTCTGCTTTAACATGTGCCTGAATTGCTCCTGTTTGCTCATTGTTTCTATTAGTACTTTTTGTTATATCTCAAACATGTTTACTACAATATATGTTAAAGCTGCAGTAAGTGTTGATGTTTGAAGCCACACCCCTTCATTTATTGCTCCCCCCATAAGTTTACAGTCATGCTGCTAGAAATTTAGACATATTAATAACACTAATAATAATAATAATAATAATCATAATATAATTAATATTTTATTTATAACAATAACAGCAAAACTTAAAGTCCTTCTGCTATAGTTAATATTACAACGTAAATAATGACTCTCAATAGCAAAATGTTAGCACTCTAAAGATATTTCAATATTTACATGACTCCTAGGAAGTTTTCCCCTTTAATAATACGTTTTAAAATATATATTTTTATACTTTTCCCTCCATATTTGTTATGTTTTGATGTCTGTGTTTATACAGTCTTTCTACAAATATTCTGCTAGCTCACTTTCTCTCCTCCCCTGTATGAGTGGACACACCCACACATGCAGATTGGCTACAACTCTCTTATTTGTATGAGTGGACACACCCCTAAATCCTGACAAGCTACAACTCTGTCCGGATTTAAATGAGTGGACACACCCCTAAATGTTGGTTAACTTCAGCTCTCTTCTCCTTTGTATTAGTGGACACACCCCAAATGCAGATTAACTACAGCTCTCTCCTTTGTATAAGTGGATGCATTCCTAAATGTTGATTGGCTACAATTCTCTCCTTTGTATGAGTGGACACACCCCTAAATGCTGATTGGCTACAACTCTGTCCACTCTGTCTATAAGTGGACAAGCTCCCAAATGCAGATTAACTACAGCTCTCTGCTTTGTATGTGTGGACACGCCCCCAAATGCAGATTGGCTACAACTTTCTCCTTTGTACAAGTGGACACACCCCCCAAATGCAGATTAACTACAACTCTTTCCCTTGAATGAGTGGACACACCCCTAAATGTTGCTTGGCTACAACTCTCCTCCTTTGTATAAGTGGACACACCCCTAAATGTTGATTGGCTACAACTCTCCTCTTTTGTATAAGTGGACACGCTCCAAATGCTGATTGGCTACAACTCTCTCCTTTGTATGAGTGGACACGCCCCCAAATGTAGATTAACTAAAGCTCTCTCCGTTGTAGGAGTGGACACACCCCTAAATAGTGATTGGCTTCAACTCTCTTCTCCACCTGTATGAGTGGGCAGGCCCCTAAATATAGATTGGCTACAACTCTCAACTTTTTATAAGTGGACACGCCGCTGAATGTTAATTGGCTACAACTCTCTCCTCCTTTGTACAAGTGGACACACCCACAAATGTTAATTGGCTACAACTCTCTCCTCCTTTGTGCAAGTGGACACACCCCCAAATGCTGATTGGCTACAACTTTCTTCTTTGTATATCTTTACACACCCCTAAATGTTGACTGGCTACAACTCTCTCCTCCCCTGTATAAGAACACGCCCCCAAATGCTGATTGGCTACAACTTTTTCCTCAGCCAAGCAATTACGGCCTTATACAGAACTAAGAATACAACATGATGATTAAGATCACACCAACAGTTGCATTGTGGGAAATGCAGTTTGTGTGTTTAGCTCAAGCCTTAAACCTCTTCCTGTGGCTGTAGATTCACTTCCTGTTTGGTGAGTATTTGCCACAGACATCTCCTGTTTAACAGCAAAACAACAGCTTTCTAGTGATATTGTATTCAAACTCTCATTTTAGTATTTTAATGGCATAAATATATTATTTTAGCAGACTTTAGCAGAATATTGAGCCTTTGAATGATTATTAGTGATGCTTATGCAGTTTAGAGATTGACCAGCAGAGGAGAACAGATCAGAACTGAGCAATAAAATTCACATTAATAAATACATACAAATATAATAATGAAATCAAATATATGTCAGTATTAAAATGTAAAATGGTTTATTTTGTTCCTTAAGCTACAAATTTAACAGTGGAGGTGCCTCAAGAAATGCATACAGTGTCAGAAATGAATACATTATTAATATTTCTATAATCTATTGTGTCCCCGCCTGTCTTATACCACCCAAGCTGCTCTGAGCTGGGATTGAACCAGCAACTCTCCCCATGGGAGTCGGTCGCTCTAACAAGGAGGCTAAAGACCCTGGCCTCCCGCCTCTGTCACTAGGGCACCTTTTATAGGTCAGAGGAGTGAGGTTTACCTGCAAAGCACTTTACTAGCTGGCCTCTGCTACACTATAATTGTGATTATGAGCTGTAAACACCACGATCATCTGTAAAACTGCAGCAAAAATAATCATGAAAACACAAAAGACACAATAATCAAGCCCAGAACATTAATCAGATCTTTATTAACTGTTAAAATCGAAAAACAAGCTTGACAGTGAAAATCAGCAGTATAACATGATTGATTATTCAGTTATTTTGGTTATTAATAAGCTTATATGATGGAGTAAATCAGTGTGAGCTGGTTTGTGTTGTTGGTGTTGTTGATTAATCAGTTCTTGAGTCTCATTTGTTATAGTAGTTCATTCAAGAGTTCACACTTAGCTGATGATTGATAATAAAGCTAGTTTGGCATGCTGTCCCGGGAGAGAGCCCTGAGCTCATAAGATGCTCAAGCTCAAGGCTCCCTCAGGTTTGCAGGGCTAGAGGGGATTCTGAGCTCAGGTAAATCTTGAGAACTCCCCTTATTTAAGGCTAAAGACAGACTACATGGATTGCTATGGAGAGGTATACTGCTGGCTAAGAGCTTATCTATGTCGCATGTCTTTGGACTGTGGTAGAAAACCGGTGAACCCAAGGGAAACACACACAAGCACAGGGAGAACATGTAAACTCCACACAGAAACTTCAGGGCTTGAATGAGTGACATTCTTGCTGTGAGGCAACAGTGCTAACTACTGAGCCACCGAGTCATCTAGGAAAAGAGAAGATTAGGGGTGGACAGGGGGGATCCTTGAAGACGAAAATGACTGCTGTAAGAAACTCTGGTTGTTTATGGTGAGATAGGAATCTTCTGATGCTAATGCGAGACCAGCCGTGGACAATCATAAGCACGTGATCCTCTCAAAAATAGACTTTACTTAAACACAGCTGTAACACACAGTAGTGTGTGTGTCTCTGTCTGCTGGATTATCTTTCATCTGAAATCACAGGAAAATCACTATTAAACAATTAAACAATCAAAATTTTAAAATAACCAGTTTGTAGCTATAAATATAGTTAAATGCATGTACATTGTTATTGTATAGTATAGTTAAATGCAGTGTTAAATCAGTGTACATCACTGCAGTCACAGTATTACATTGCTGAAATAAAATCAACTCTATATAAATCATGGAGAACAATTATAAAAGTAAACATTTCTTTTTTTTTTTTTTTTGTAATTCCCAGGTTCTGCTGGTTTACACATTTTCCGAATTTCATTTCAATCTTAAGCCAGTTGTAATCATTTAATTGGTTCAATTTGTAATTTCCCAAACCAATGCAGAGCCCAGGGCATCAAAGAGAGACTCTAGCTAAAGCCCACACTGAACCAAAATTAAGCCTTTCTGCCATCTCACCTGTTGATAAATGCTTGTAGTGAACTCTGAGGAGTGCAGACCTGTAGAGCACATCAGTGTTAGTCTTTCTCAGATCTTTAACCCAGTCTAATGTGTCCTAAAGCTGAACTAAACCCTGTCAGATATTACCGTCAGTCTTCTTTCTCTGCCGTACAGCCAGGATGAGCAGCGGGAGACCAATCAGGAGCAGAACTGAAGCCTCCGCAGTGATGATGATCATGAACGAGTCTGAAATAAACAAGAGGAAAACACAGATGGATGGAGAGAGACAAATAATAATACTAATGACAATCATAATGACATACAGACTGATGGAGAGGCAAATAATGATAATAAAAAATGCAGGAATCAGATTAGAGCACCATATCAGAATATGTTTATAGACACAGTAAATAAATAAAAGAAAATGCACACAAAAAACACAAAAAAGACCTCAGTGCTGGTTAACATTTTTCGTATTTTGACATAAAACACTGGGAAGAGGGATATGATGATTGTTAATGACATGCTTTCAGGTCTTGTTCTGATGGACAGGTTATATAAGTTTAATGTGAGATGCAGTAAATGCAGTGCGGTGAATGTGTGAAGTGTTTTAGACGTTGATTTAAGCTGTATATAACAGAAATGACAGAGATTATAACAGAGACACAGAGAGATGAGCTGACCTGAGGAGACGTGATGATCTGTGAATGTGCTGATGGTGGACTGTGGATTTACAGCTGATGAACTCAGATCAGGCCACGTGTGTGAAGATGAGCTGAGAGCTTGATCTGCAGTTTGATGTGGAAAACAGACTGAGCTGTTTATATAATATAATATATATATATATATATATATATATGCTATAATGGATTTCAGGTACCTGAGTTAATAGTGGATGCGGAGATCTGAACAGGTTTTGGTTTCTTTGGTGCTGAAAAAGGAAGTCATACACTTCAGAAAAAATAAATACATGCATAAACCAATTACTAACTACAGCATGAAAAATAAACAACGATATATCAGAGAGTTGTGAATGAATCAGACAGTTAAAAGTTAATACTAGAAATCAAACACCTCTGATCACATTAAGCTGAATTGATCTAGAATCTCTCCATCCAGCAGCACAGTTGTACTCTCCAGCATCATTCATCTGCAGATCTCTGATGGTCACTATAAATAATCTGGCTTTATGATCATCTTTTAGTGTGAATCTGCCATTGAACACTGGAGACTCTCCTCCATAGGACTGTAGCCATAGTGTACTGTCTTTGTAAGGTCCTATGTAGAAGTATTTATAAGACGTCTCATATCCTCCACCATAAGGACAGTTAATAACAGCTTCTCCTCCTTCTGCTGCTGTCACTGTAATATCAGCACACACTGAAGCTCTCGCTGAAGCACACAAACACAACACAACACTGCTTTACACAAACACACTCACTAAATCCCCCATACTGTACAATAATAAAACCTTCACAGAGATCTTCGAGCACTTACCCATCAGCAGAAACACACAAACCCTCAGCGCAAACTTCATTTCTTCAGAAAATCAGCCTGAAACTCTGAACACTTCCTCTAAATCACTTTCTCAAACTCAGATAATACAACAATTCTGCTCAAGTTGCTCTTCTGTTGCCGGTGTCGAGTGTGAGAATCGAGCATTAGCTCTGACTGACTGTGTGCTTGAGTTTCCATGTGGCTTTATGTGTGAAAATGCTTCTCAGGTTTGACCAGGAAACTAGCTCTGATCTCACAAACCACAGACCTTAAACAATGTTAGCAGAGATGTTTAGCAGAGGTTATTTAAATCAATTCTAAAGACCACTTAAACACTTTAAAGGCTCATCATTCTGATCACAAACACAAATATAAAGAAATGAGGTGAATGTGAAATGCTTTTACTGTGGTTGGGGAGAGCAGAGCCTTTACAGACACATAAGTTTACATCAACAGGTGCATTGTGGGAAATGTAGTTTGTTTAGCTCAAGCCTCAAACCTCTTCCTGCGGCTGTATATTCACTCGCTGTTTGGTAAGTAACGTCCACAGACATGACACTAGCAGTAACATTATATTGTATGTTAAATAAAGTACTGCAGGGAACATTTAGCATCAGAAGGGAGGATTAGTTTTATTTTTAAACAATTTATATTTGTAAAAACATTTGGATTATCATAATTTTTTTAATTCTCCTTTGGCTTAGTTTATTCATAGCCACAGTGGAATGAACCGCCAACTTATCCAGCATATGTTTTCCACAGCAGTTGCCCTTCCAACTGCAACCCGACACTGGAAAACACCCATACACACCTATCCCCACACACAGTCATACACTACATCCAATTTAATTAATCAATTCCCCTATAGTGCATGTGTTTGGACTGTGGGGGAAATCGGAGCACCTGGAGGAAACCCATGTGAACACGAGGAGAACATGCAAACTCCAAATTTCAATACAATACAAATACATAAGAGCAACACTCTCCCAAATTTTAAGCTATTATTACTGCCCTTAGTTTCGTTTTTTGGTATAAGATTGCAGAAGATTAGTTTGACTAGAAATGTAGTTTTTCACCATCATACACACTTTATGTCACTCGGCAGAACTACAGTTTGAACCGCTGTAGTTGAAAACCCATTCCTTACAGCATTAAAGTGACTTTTGCATGTGTAACACTATAATGTGCTAAGCATTATTTGTTAGTTAAAAAAGTAGAAAGGATCAGCACTCTGCCACTTTAGCTCTCAAAAGACAATTTAACTGGCCTTCGACCTTGTAGGTTGAAAGGTTGTCCAATTAAATTGTCTTTCGAGAGCTGTTAGACCACCAACTCCACGCCAGATAAATATGATCCAGCCCCGCACACCAGATCTTGTCTGAAAATATCTGTTTCTCCAGGTACAGTTGAAGTCAGAATTTTTAGCCCCCCTTTGATTATAATAATTTTTTTTTAAATATATTTCCCAAATGATGTTTAACAGAGCAAGGAAATGTTCACAGTATGTCTGATAATATTTTTTCTTCTGGAGAAAGTCTTATTTGTTTTATTTCTGCTAGAGTTAAAGCATTTAAAAAAAATTTTAAACACCATTTTAAGGACAATATTATTCCCCCCTTTGAGTTATTTTTTTATTTTTCAATAGTCTACAGAACAAATCATCAATATACAGTAACTTGCCTAATTACTCTAACCTGCTTAGTTAACCTAATTAACCTAGTTAAACCTTTAAATGTCACTTTAAGAATAGAAAAAAATTGTAAATTTGACAAGATTTGGTCTCCTCTTCTTCTCTATCTTGAAAGCGTAGATTAAAAATCTAGATGGTGAAGGTCACACCAACAGTACTGCAGTCCCAGGGGTGGGGTGGGTTTTAGGTTTTTTTTTTTTTCTTTCTCTTAACTATTTTATTTTATTCTATTACAGATATTAGTATTGTTTTTAATTTTTACTTATTTTTATGTGAGTGATATTTGTTTATTTCTTTTTTGCAAAAAAAAAAAAAAAAAAACACGAGATGCTGCAACATTTGCTGTAATTTTGTGCACTGCAATGAATATCTCAATAAAAAAAATTTAAATTAAATGTCACTTAAGCTGAATAGAAGTGTCTTAAAGAATATCTAGTCTAATATTATGTACTGTCATCATGACAAAGAGAACATAAATCTTATTAGAGATGAGTTATTAACACTATTATGATTAGAAATGTGTTGAAAAAAAAAAATCTTCTTTCCGCTAAACAGAAATTGGGGAAAAAAAAAATAAACAGGGGCTAATAATTCTGACTTCAACTGTATATGGACAAGTCAGCAAAGTGTCCAATAGCTAAACCTGTTAGCCAGTATTCAACTGACTTAACAGTCTCTTATCAATATAAAAGTTGACTGGGAAGACCAAAGTGGAGCAGAAGCAGGAGACGAAGTAATAATGATAAAGAAAGAGCAGAGTTTATTGAATGATCTTAGTTGAGTAATATTCAATGCTCAGACGTCGTCTGACCAGGAGAAATCTAACAAGTGTTATTATATCACGAGCAACAGCAATGGAAAACTACTGCTTCACAACATTGTCCAGAAACAATACAAACCTTTAAAAAAAATGGAGACATTCTCTTATCTCCTGCTCATGGAAACAAGTTTCGCTTGAATCCACAATAATAAGAGTATAACAATATAGAAAAATGACAATTATATTCCAGCAATTCATTCATTCATTTTCTTTTCAGCTTAGTCCCTTTATTAATCTGGGGTCGCCACAGCGGAATGAACCGCCAACTTATCCAGCATATGTTTTACGCAGTGGATGCCCTTCCAGATGCAACCCATAACTGGGAAACATACACACTCATTACGCACACACACTGTGGTCAATTTTAGCATACCCAATTAACCTGTACCATGTCTTTGGACTTGTGGGAGAAACTGGAGGAAACCCACATGAATACGGGGATGACATGCAAACTCCACACAGAAATGCCAACTGACCCAGCCGAGGCTCAAACCACCAATCTTGTCACATTTGCGTGATCAAAACAGAAACAAGAACGGGAACAAAAGGGGTGTGGATCCAAGTGCAGATTTTAATGATAAATAGTGCAGCGACAGTGAACAAAAATCCCAAATACCAAAGTGCAAAGTAACAAACAAACAACAAAACAAGAAACTAAGACAGATAAAAACGAACTAGACTTTACCAAGATACAAGAACAAAATCAGGAACAACAAACTCAGAAAACCAGACTTACTAGATCGAGGAGACAAGAAAGACAAACGACGCGATGACAAACATTGGTGGAATGATAGAACATATAGTCCAGATAAACAACGGAAAACAGACACAGCTTTGATGGCAGATCAGTATAGGTGTTCCTGGTGTATGCGCGTGGTATGTATGGATTTGTAGTTTTTAAGCGCTGTAGTTCCTACTCAGTGTCCGTTGAACTACAGCGCCCTCAGGTGGTCACTGACAGTCATGACAGATCTTGGTTATTTATTTATTATTAATTAAGCAATAATTATAAGAAAATGATAATACTACAATATAAAAACTATAACCTGACAAATAATTAATAATAATAATTCAATCATTAACTACTGATCAATAAAACATAATATAATTATATATATATAT